CCAAACACCAGACCAAACGGTTGGGGGGGGGGGTTCTTCAAGGCAAAGGGCAAAGGTGGGGGAAGAGAGATAGAGGAAGACGGTGGAGAAAGAGAGCAAGGCCAGGTTGTTCTGCCTATTTTGTATGGGTGGTGACATAGCCTCTCCCAGGTGAAAGTGAGGTAGCCAGGTAGATTCTGGGAGTGTATGGCGGTTGCCTTGGCAACGCCGTAGGGTCTCCTAGATGTGATGTCACTGGGTTCGGGCCTGATACCAACACAGCCTCTTGCCCTGTTTTGTGAAAACTGATGACTTCGCGGTGATTACCACATCTAAATCTTCATTTTGTCTGGAAAACATCCCTATACTGCTGTTAGGTTATCTCTGGTTTCTACTACTGGCTTTTGTTTTTCTTTTTCTTTTCTTTCTTTCTTTTTTTTGTGGGGGTCAGTGTAAGAGATAATACTGTCAGGGGTAGAGAGCAGTGAACTGGGGTGTGAGTCCTGAGGGCGACAGAGTTGGTGCTGGGCATACAGGGGAATTTTGGAGTTTTAGAGGTCATTTTCCCAGTGGGATTACTCTAAGCTGAAGTGCTTTGAGGTTGCAGGAACTTCAGTAACACGGAACAGCTTTTCTTTATGCCCAATGGATACCTCCGTCTTCTTGTTTACTTTCTATTTTAGCAGCACTTTTTGTCTTAATTTTACTTTTTTTACCTAACATAGCAAACTGCACATGTAAGTTCAGCGGAGTAATATGACTCCTCGTGTGCAATGCACAGTGGCCAAATCAAGTTTCTATTAAATAATTATCATTTCTCTATGTTGGGGACCTCGGAATCCCTATTTTCTACTTATTTATAAAATATATAACAAATTGCTTAAAACTGTAACCACCCTTCTGTGCTGGTAGAATTCTCATCTCGTTCCTGTGCGCTTTTCTGATGCTGAGCTGCCCCCTACTGGAAACAATGCAAAACAGCAGGGAATCTTTTGGGTTCCACTTGAATGTGACTTACATTAAAATTATCCTGTGCTATTGAAGCTCATTGAGAAGCTGGCCCTGGAAATGGAGTTGCCCCTCTCATATTTCAGACCCAAGCGTGTTTGTCTCTAAGTGTTCTCCAAGACCCCTATCCAGGGACAGTTTGGCCCCAGCGGGCTCTGATAATGAGAGAAAGAAGAACACCAAAGAAAGCTCAAGGTTAAAACATTGGGACCAGCAGAGGATTAAAATAGAGTAAAATGCCTTTGGGTTGGTGGGAAACAAGTTGAAACCGGAAGTTCAGCCATGGAAGCTCACTTATGGAGAGAGCTCAGTTGGGATCCCCACCCCCACCCCAGATTGCCTATCTCAGCTTCCCCAATCCCTTTCTGCTGAATATTTACAAGCTTTTGATTTGATGATGTGACCTAGGTTTGCTTTTTCAACTTTCAATCAGTCCACTTCAGCTGTCTCAGTTGTGAGTTCCAGACTTGATCTTTTGCTATCAATGTGATGGGGATGCTTCTACCTGCTACTTGAGTATTTGTTCTTTGGCTCAGTATATGCTTAATCAACTGGCTCATTTGGAACAAAACAATGGCTGTTGTAGATATTTCTCTGGAACGTACAGAACAGTGAGTTCTTAGTCACTGTTGATTGACACCATGACCATGATAACTCTTCTAAAAGAAAGCATTAAATTAGTGGTTTGCTTACAGTTTCAGAGGGTCAGTCCATTATCATCATGGCGGAAGCACAGCAGTGTGCATGACTCTAGGACAGTAGCTGAGAGCTAGCTATATCATGTCATGTAGGCAGGAAGCAGAGAGAAAGACTCGAAAAGCCCACAGCCAGTGATATACCTCTTCCAACAAGGTCACACTGTTGTGATGTTCAAGTCCACTGGGAAAGACCAAAGACTTAGACTCAATTCAAATTGAGTAAATTAATTTATTCTTATTGCTAGCAGGGCAGCACCCTTAGAATCAAAAAGCATGCTGTGCCAAAAGAGGCTAACTGAAAGATTTATAAAGGTTTTATAATAATAGAAAGACTATTTTATGCCAGTCTCACAGCGATAAGGAAGTGGTTAAGTAGCAAGTTTACATGAGCCAAAAGCAAACAGCTAAATACCTCATGGCAGGAACACTACTGTCTCATTATTTTATTCTTTTTCTCCTTTTTCTCCCTTTTCTCCTTTTTCTCCCTTTTCTCCTCCTCCTCCTCCTCCCCCTCCTCCTTCTCTTCCTCTTCTTCCTCTTCCTCCTCTTCTCTCTTCTCCTCCTTCTCCTTCTCCTCCTCTTTCTTTTCCTCCTCCTCTTTGTTTTTCAAGATAGGTTTTCTCTGCTTATCCCTAACTGTCTTGGAACTGACTCTGTAGACCAGGTTGGTCTGGAACTCAGAGATCTTCCTGCCTCTCCTCACAAGAACTGGGATTAGAGGGTTGTACCACATGTTTTATTTCACTTGAAGCCGCTAGCATCTCACAAGTACTCCTGGGCAAAGGCCTTTAAGGAATCCCTCGTACCATATAAGTTTCTTTAGCTATCACAGGTGTAGCTGTCTGTGGCCATGAATGAACTGGGTTCACCTGAAAGGGAGGCTGGAAATGAAAAAGAATGGAGTGGCGAGAGTTACAGGAAGCCAAGACAAAGTTTTCTGATCAAGGCTCAAAGTTTAATATTCAGTTCTTGTAATATAGAGAGAAAGCCCACCCGAACCCATCCTTTATTTCAGCTGCAAAGCAGGCTCAGCGGGCAGTCTCTTCTTCACATTTCTTGCTGGAAGTTGCAAGTGTAAACAAAGCAGCAGGACTCACCTAGGTGTTAAGGTTCTGTGTGGCAGAGGAGGTCTGTTCAGACTGCTCAAGGCTGGGAAGGGCACAACAGGGGAGCTATGTCATGAGTAAATTATTATATAAGTCCTGGTACTCTGGAGGGAGTGTCACTAATGGACTGAGATGAAGCAAGGAATAAGCACAGTGCCATCAAGTTCAGGCTGGTTGTCAGATTCCCACAACACCTACTACAAAAGAGCTATACATCTTAATCCTGTCAAACAGTTCACCAGCTGGTGACTGAGCATATGAGTCTATGGGGGCTATTCCCATCCAAACCACCCAAGTGAGGTACACTACTATTTACTTCTTTACTTCTTTATTTTTGTGCATGTGTGTGTGTGTGTGCACATGTGTGTATTATGTATCTATGCTAGGAAATGAACCCAGTGCCTTGCATATTTTCCACATCAGCTCTAACACTGAGCTGCCCTCAGCATTTAGCACTTTCCTTTTCCAAGACAGAAACTCTTATGTTCTGGCTAAAGGAAGCCTAGGAGAGACTAAAGTTGAGATCAGGCCCTATTTAAGTAATATTCCTGTGTCTACTGAGAAAGTCTCTAGTAACTCTCAAGTGTCTCTTGGTCTTCCTATTTTCAGTTTTACTCAGTAAAGTTTTTTAAAAAACCCAAGAGGAGGAATTTTGATCTTGAAAGTAGGAGCTACGCACACAGTATGGAGGGTTGAAATGAACTGGGTGAGGTGTAATGGGGAGTTGGGAGGACTGTGGAAAACTGGGAACAACTGCCACTAATCACCAGTGATCAGGTGTTCTGTAGGGAACATTATGAAATCTATAATAACAGCATTATGAAATCTATAATAATTTAAAAAGAAGACAGAAAGTGAATTATTGTAAAATGACTTAAAAATTTAACAAGAGAATATATGAAAGTAAAGTATCCGCTCCAGACACACCAAGAACAAGTTCTTAACACAAAGGAGATTAGTTAGACCCAGAGCAGAAAAGGGGCAGGGAATAAGAGACAGAGCCAGGAGATAGAGGGTGAGGGAGAAGAGGAGGGGAACAAGGGAGAGGGAGAAGAGATATTTGTCCTTGGGGGTCAAAGGACTGCCTTAGGATAGAGAGGAGGCAGATGTGGCCCATAGGCAAGTAGCAGTTTATAAAGGTAAAGGGCGAAACCCTGTGCTAGGATGAGGTGTTTAGTTTTAATTGGGCATGTTAATTAGGTGAGCCAAAGGGGGCTTTTGATGGCTGGGCTTCAATACTTTGATGCTGGACCTCGGGAGGACAAAGTAGCCAAATAAGGGAATAGACCTTAGTGGCTAGCTTTAGGAATGTAACATAATGGGTTTAGCAAGGCAGAGGAAATTGGGGAGAAGGAAGAGACTTGCCAGAGCCATGTTCGAGCATGCTCGCTCGAGCTTTCCTTCAGTACAGCTTTAAGATGACCTTCTCCCAGTTCTTCACAGCAGACCCAGATCTCTAGGAACACAGAACAAATAGAACACATCCATACCTTTAAAGGTGAATTCTTTTTTATTAGATTTATTTACATAATTAGATGCCAAAAAGTCCCACAAGGCAACATGTAGGTTACAGAGCCTGAAAGACCAAGGGCAACTAAGTTCAAGGAATGTGACACCAGCAAACAAAAGCAAAAAGGAGTAGTCACTGATACAGCCCCAAATGAAACCAAGGCCTACAAGTCCCCTGGAGGGATACTGTGGTAATCTGCATTTTCATATTTTAGTGTGTATGCATGCTTGTAAAAGTATGTGTGTGCATGTAAAAGTGTATTTGCCTGTACTACAGTGCAGGTATGGAGGTTGGTGGACAACTACAGGAGTTGGTCCTTTGCTTCTTCCTTGTGGGGTCCTTGGTTAGAACTCAGCTTATTAGGTTTGGTGGCAAGCGCCTTACTACTGCAAAGAAAGTCATGTGGGTTTTTTATTACCCACGGCTGCCCTAAAGTCTTTTCTCCCCTAAAGCTTATTTCTACTCTACCCAGATTCTGCTCTTTCTTAATTTGAAAAATTTCCGTAGTGGATGAGATTCATAGCATTTCATCCATTTGTTTTCTCATTCATCCACATGACCTTTTGCCTATTTCATGTTGCAAGCGGTTTTGGAAAATGTAAGCATAATTTCATGGATGGGCGCTAGACTTAGGATAATGTTTCCTTCTTGGTGGTCCATCCCTGTATTTCAAGAATTGTTCTGCTTCTCTTGACTCAGCCCATCTGCCAGGCAGCCTACCAGAACGACTTGGGGCAAGTGTGGCGCTGGGTGAAAGAAAGCAACCATTATGTGGATATTCAAGATGGCTTCAATGGCGATACTCCCCTCATCTGTGCCTGTAGGCGGGGGCACCTGAGAATTGTCTCCTTCCTTTTAAGGAGAAATGCTGACGTCAACCTCAAAAACTTGGTGAGTTTGCTGGGGGATGATGGTCTAATGCAAATGGCATCGTTTCAGTTAGGACATTTCTATAGGCCTAACTTGGAATATATATTTAGCCAAAAATTTTTATCCACATAGATACATTAACAACTTGTATAATGTTAAAAAAAAGAATGTGCAACTACAATGAACTATGTAGTTTCTCTTCTAATCTGATGTTTGCCAAAAGAACAAAGAAAATAAATTAAACAAACAAATGAATGAATAAATGAATAAATAAAGCAAAATAAGCAAACAAACAGAAGAAGGGGAGGCTGTGGAAGGGCTACCAGGAGACAAGAGACAGAACAACGTAAGAACATATGGGGGAATACACCCCAAATACACCCCAAACAGCAGGAGTGGGTGTATCTGTGAAGCTTCTCAAATTGGTGGAACTGATGTCACTTTTCCTTCCTACAGCATCTAATATAGACAATTCTTTTTTGTTTTTTTTTTGTTTGTTTGTTTTTTGCCTGCTTTGTCTTATTTAACCCAAGGGCATTTTGCTAGACTAAAAGCATAAAAACAGCATTTCAACCAGCAGGGATGTTTGGTGATGATGTCATTGTGCCTCTGAAGAAGAGGATGGTCCACTCTGTTGGCTGTAGGCAGCATCTCCTTTTCCTGTTCTGCTTTCTCCAACCCATATTCTCTTCCTCTTCAGTATTATAAAAATAAGGGGGAAAAGAAAACATGGTGCTTGCCATTATTTATGTTTTTACCTGTTCTTTTAATATAGGGTTGGACTTTTTATAATTTTTCACTGATGCATGTTCATGTACTTGGTGATGAATTACATGAGAATGTTTTCACCCAAATCTGTTGTATGCTTTGTGCATATTCTCTCTTACCTCCTTACCTTCCCCGTATATACCCCACACATCTCCTTACCTTCTCCTTATAGACCCCGTACATCTCCTTACCTTTCCCTTATATACCCGTATACCTCCTTACCTTCTCCTTATATACCCCATATACCTCCTTACCT